TATTATTATTATTATTATTATTATTATTACTAATTAGATGGAAGGAATGTCAACCTAATTGTTCATTATAAGACACTATTAAACCTCTAGTGGAAGCATACCATGGAGTCATGCTTGAGAATCTAGGGAATGCCTAGACAAGGCAGATTTTGTCAGATGCACTAAACTGGGATACAAAGCTCCTGACCTTCCAAATGTCAACTGACTGCAATTCGCATCTAGGTTTATGTGGCTTAACATCCCTCAATATTATAATCTCTCTACATCTATATTAAAACTCGCAATTAACCTCTCCACAACCCATGCCACTTTTCTGCCACCCTGACTTCCACACATGTAAACTGGACTGATTTCATATACGAATGCCCTGTCCGAACCTGTATCCTCCATTTTGGCCCTTACCTTTTGCCAGAAATCCATCGAAAACCTCATATACCAAATATCACACTGACTATAGTCAAACCGACCCAGAATAGTCACATTGGACTCGCTGGGCTTAATTTTATCTATGTCGTCTTCCATTTTGCCAGGCTTCCAGCATACAATGGCGTTTTCACAGGACTGTGGAGGGAATAAAAAAAGTTACAATATAAATTGCAGAACACTTTCTCCTTTTCAATGTAACATTTGCAGGATGAGCCTCATTCAATATATGTAAACACTTTACTGTAAAGTAAAATTATCCAATTGAAGATGCCATCCCACTGAATTTTGTAATTCCAGCAATTAAAGGAACATACCTTGGAGAGTATAAGATCTCCAAGCCATCGCACACAGTCTACATAATTTCTATGTATGTCTCTAGTAGAGAAGTCAGGAAAGTGGATTTTCTGAGAAACAAATGGCCTGCAAAAGAAAAAGCAAACTAAGTTAAGCAGCAAAGCTTGAGAAGATGGGCAAATCTGTTGAGCGAGTGGGCTTATTAACAAAAGACCCTCCTCATAAATGCACAACAGAGTAACTTATCAGCGTGACCCAGCACCAGCATCCAAAAGTGAAAAAACAAACAAAAACACCGACCAATGTAATCTCTTCCATAGGAGACTTCTCTTTACAGCAAAAATAATATGGTTGCACTATTTACAAGAACAAGGTTTCCATAACACAAAGTTCTTTACACTTCCTTCTTTGCTTTCATGCTAGGCTTCTTTCTCATGCAGATAACCAGCTTCGCTCTCACAGAGCCTCCTCTCACACCAAAGTTACACAAGAGCTTCACACAGCAGCTTTTTACACACAGCAGTCTTCACACTGAAACTTCACACATGATGGCCTTCAACCTGCGACTTCTCTCACTGAAGCTTCTCACACCAGGCCTATTAACATTGAGTCCTATCTCCCACCGAGGCCTTCTCAGACTGAGATCTCTCATACAGAGACAAACTAACACTGAGGCCTTCTCATACTGAGGCCTACTAACACACAGAGGCCCTTCTCCCACAGAGACCTCTCACAGACTGACAACTACTTCAGACTGAGGGCTACTAAGCTGCAAGCACACCTGCTTATATTGAACTGCAGTTTTTGCTAAGTCATTGCATGCATTTAACCCTTTTAGTGTTGGACTCACATTTCTAGTGTTGGACTAACATACCTAGTTAATTTTTATTATAGAAGAGGCACTGCACAGTTCAAACATAACTCTTTTAAAAAATATTTTAAGCCACCTTAAATCCCATCTTGGGAGAAAGGTAGGATATAAAAACAATAACTAAACAAATGCTCATGGTGTCTCAGGACAGAAATGACACATGTTTACTGTTCCATCCAATTACAGTGAATATATTTTGATTTTTTAATTAAGAACCTCTGTGACATTTAAACCAGCATCTTGTGGTTTAAGGACTCCCCCAGCATATAGAATCTGTATCAGATTACTTTTTGAGATAATTACGGAAATAGAAGCTTCGTAAGTTCCCCAGGCTTACAAAGTCACATAAAAAATAGCTAAGAAAATCCATTGATGATACAGTAAAGCTTTTCCTGTATAAAAAGAGAAAGTGGTGTAACAGTATTTGTGTTGGGTTGTTGTAGTTTTTTTTCAGGTTATATGGCCATGTTCTAGAGGCATTTTCTCCTGACGTTTCACCTGCATCTATGGCAAGCATCCTCAGAGGTAGTGAGTATTTGCTATTCTGTTTCCAATTCTATGCCTGTTATATTGAGCATAAACCCACCTGAAATGAATGAATTAACATATGCAGGACAATGCTGCCAAGCATGTATACTATAGTGAAAACAAAGTCAAAGGATAATTTAGAAGCCATTCTGTTTTTTGACATAAGAATTGTGATGACAATATTGATAAAATTTTGAAGACTGTACTAATGCAGAGAACACATATTTAGTTCGGGACTGCCCTTACCTGTTAGTTTTGTTGGGATTGTATTCATAGGATTCCTTGATTGCATTTATCATTCTCTTTGAATTGATTCGCCAGAGTTTCAGGGAGTGATCCATGCCACAAGACATGATTTTCTCACCAAGCAGATCATAATCCTACATGCAGAAAATATACTTGTTTAGATTTGCATTAAACATTAAAATTCAAACAAAGTATAAGCCAAGACAACAGCCACAGAATACTTCCAGACTAAGGACTTCTATTAGCTTGACAAAGAAGTGAAGTATGAAGAAAGGGGTAAGTAATTCATAAAACTTACTGCACTTAAAACTTCATCTCTGTGCCCTTCAACGCCTCCAAATATTGCCACCAAAGTGTCTGTCTGAATATTCCATAATCTTAGTGCATGATCTAACAGAACAAAAATCGAGAAGTTATATCAGGGTGTCAGTATGTCTTGCCATTAGCATTAGGAACCATCTACAGAGAGTCACATGATGAATAACTACATGGTTCAAATAATACTTGGGATAGCAACACCTTCAATCATGGCTGAGCAACTAGTTTCATACAACTGTTTGTCTATACTTGCTATTCCTCAATTCTCAACATAATCTGGATATGTATCATTATACAAACAGAGCAATGACACACTACATTAAAACAAAATTTCACTCTTGATGCTTTATTTTGTGAGAAATGATGAAGTCCAAAACTCTTTCTTTGTCTTTGGTACTATGAAATGTCAGAAATGTTAAAAATTAACTAGGTATTTTTAATTACAAAAATGTGAGTCAAGCACTTAAAGGGTTAAATGGATGCAATGGCTCATCAAAAGCTGCAGTTCAATATAAGCAGGTGTGCCTGTAGCTTAGTGTGTTAGTAGGCCTCAGTATGAGAAGGCCTCAGTGCTAGTCCACAATCTGAGAGAACCCTCAGTGTGAGAAAGGCCTCAATGTGAGGTAGGCCTTGGTATGAGAAGCTTCGGTAAGAGGAAGCCCCAGGTTGAAGGCCTCATGCGTGAAAGCTGCTGTGTGTAAAGCTACTGTGTGAAGCTCCTGTGTAAGTTCAGTGTGAGGGGAGGATCTGTGAGAGCAAAACTGTTTATCTGCATGAAAAAGAAACCCAGCATGGAAGCAAAGAAGAAAGTATAAAGAACTTTATTTGTGTTATGGAAACCTTGTTTTTGTAAACAGTGCAACCATATTATTTTACTACAAAGAAAAGCCTCCTAAGGAAGATATAACATTGGTCTGTGTGTTTTTGTTCTTTTTGTCCCTTTGAGCTACTGGTGCTGGGTCACGCTGCTGCTAATGTTACTCTGCTGTGCATTTATGAGGAGGGTCTTTTGTTATTAAGCCTACTCGTCAAACATGGAATTCTTATATAAAAGAACTGGGTAGCATCTCCATTGACAGCAATGGCATCAGTCACCCTCCACATTTGCATGTTTAGCTTTTGGAGATTTGATATTCAGACTTGAATGTGTTCTCTCTAGGCCAGTGTTTCTCAACCTGAGGGTCGAGACCCCCGGGGGATCATGAGGCATTGTCAGAGGGGTCGCCAAAGACCATCAGAAAACACAGTATTTTCGGTTAGTCATGGGGATTCTGTGTGGGAAGTTTGGCCCAATTCTATCGTTGGTGGGGTTCAGAATGCTCTTTGATTGTAGATGAACTACAAATCCCAGCAACAACACCTCCCAAATGACAAGGTCTATTTCCCCCAAACTCCACCAGTGTTCACATTTGGCCATTTGAGTACTCATATCAAGAATCATATTTACATTACAATTCAAAACAATAGCAAAACGACAGTTATAAAGTAGCAACGAAAATAATTTTATGGTTGGGGGTCACCACAACATGAGGAACTGCATCAAGGGGTCACAGCATTAGGAAGGTTGAGAACCACTGCTCTAGGCACAAATCTTCGTGAGACTTAGACTCAGATACTTCACTCTGATGTAGCTGCTAGAACAGAAGCATCGGCTTCCTGGTATGGACTAATCAGAGCTTCCAATTTTAACCGAGAAACATTCTGGTTAAATTCAACCAAATATACATAACCCTGTAGTCCCCCCACTGTTTTGGACTGCAATTAGAGAATCCTGGATACTGTCCCATGCTGGTTGGTGTTCATATGAGAGTTTTAGCCCATAACATTTGGAACACTTGTTTAAACTATGTGTTCATGCAAAGCAAAATCAGGATTGAGTTTGTCAGACATAACAAACCAAGTTTTAAAACAGAAGATGCTTTGAAGCTCTGTGTCATGACAGTGCCAAAGGAGGAAAGGTAATGATCACAAACCAAAGGTTTGTCCCTGTCTTATATTGTAATGCTGAAATATGACTCAATGCTATGTTGCCACTCATCCAAAGAGTAGTAAAAGAAAGGGGAGGAAAGTACATGGGCAAATACTATTAAATGTTCTCAGTGTGATTTATTAAAACAGGCTGACAACATATGTGACAAATTACTACTTTTTGCAACATATTATTGATTTATTATCATCAGAAGGCTATCTTCCTTTTGCCATTGTTGTTCTAACAAAAGTGCCCCGTAAGCAGACTCATACCTTTGCTTACAGACAAAAGAAGATTCGGATCCCTGGGGTGAAATTTCAGTTCGTTGATTGCATTGCCATGGCCCACATAGTGCTAGAACAGAATTAACATATGAGGTTATTGTCTCCATATCGCAATATTTTGCAACAAAAGTTAGCGAAGGTTTTGAGGAGAGCTTTTAGCTCTTCTATCAACTCACCTTGATGCACTGCATTGTGATAGGGTTAATTATCCTAATAATGCCTCTGGATCCAGCCACAGCCAGAAGGGGATGGCTTGTGTTGCTATCATAGGTCCACGCACAAGTGTAAAAGTTTTCATCTGCCTGAAGATCATAGTTAAGGTCTAAACACACATCTGTCCAGTTGTCTACTGCCCATTGAATGTTGGAAAAGAATGTGTGAAAAATGCACTGAGGTGTTTAGAATATAAAACAGTATATGTTACAGAGTTTGGGATGACTTAAATTGGGATGTTGTTATAATTTATTATTTATACCTCTTTTCACTACTGAAGTGTAGAGAAAGCCTCCCGGCTAAGTTTACGAAATGGGCCACTCTCATAAATAGTCTGAGATACTATTTCTTGCTCAAGACCATCTGAATATTTCATTCAGAGAAATATTTCATTTCAGAGATGCTATTAAGCTCTTGGAAACCAGGGGGACAGAGTTCATTGGGCAACAAAAAATATAGGAATATGCTGCCCCCACTGCGCTTATATTAATGCAAGGAGAAAGTAATGAAGAAACTTATCAGTAGGGAAAGAAAGTGGACAGTTGCTACTGAGCAGATGCAAAGTTTATTTGGTGACATTTCTGGTTAAGAACCCTTTCAAGAGGGTCCTATTTAACATGGAAATCTCCAAGACACAAGAGAAACCATAATGGATTGGGACAAAGCCTACCTCGTATAGCAGTTTGTTTCTACACCAGCTAACTATAAAAGGGTAAAGCTTTCCCCTGACATTAAGTCTAGTCGTGCCCAACTCTGGGAGGTAGTGCTTATCTCTATTTCTAAGCCAAAGAGCCAGCGTTGTCCATAGACACCTCCAAAGTCTTGTGGCCAGTGTGACTGCATGGAGCACTGTTACCTTCCTGCAGAAGTAGTATCGATCTACTCACATTTGCATGTTTTCAAACTGCTAGGTTGACAGAAGCCCGCTCCCCGGATTCAAACCACCAACCTTTCAGTCAGCAAGCTCAGCGGTTTAACCTGCTGCGCCACCAGGGGGGCCCCAGCTAACTATATGCTTAGGGTAAATGCGTGTAAGTACAGGGGGCTTGACAACCGTATAAGCTGCCAAGGAAATCCTTGGAGGACTGACATCACTGCCCCAACATTAAAAAAAAACATTGTGTTTTGTCCCAAAGCAAGTTCTATAGCTACAGAGAGCAATTTTGGCATATTTGGGGACAACAGCTGCACACTCAGTTAATATTTCTAATTCTCTGGAAAACGTTCCAGAAATAAAAGGAAATAAAAGGATACATCAGCATCCACATAGGATTGTAATAATCGTATTTCTCCTTGGGAATGGCATTCATAGAGAGTAACCTAGAAATGAACAAAAGGCAAGGTATTAGGATAGATACATTTTAAGATATATTGTCAAAGTGTTAACTCACATTTCTCCAGTTATCTTTCTTTTCTCTTACAGATGGGCAAATAATAAAAACAGCATGACTTATGGGCATTCACAATATATTATCAGGGCAGTAACTTGCTCCAAATGTTCTTAGCCTTGTCCACCTCCTTTGACTTTGGTTTTATTGTTCCTGTGAGTTTTCAAATAGCACTTGACAACACTGAAATAAAGCAGAGACAGCATTTCTGGACAAGACTTGTTCAGAGAAGGCTTGCCATTATTTGGTCTGAAGCTGAGAAATTCTTTCTAATGTTCAGATGGAATCTCTTTTCCAGTCATTTGAATCTGCTGTTTAACTCAGACTGATTGCTTGACTTTTGGAAATATACAAACAAAATCTGCTCACAGACAAACACTATTGGGGCTCCAAACGATGATGGACGATGATTCCCAGAAACTCTGTTTTACCCATACTAACTGGAGACTTCTGGGGGTTGGCCCAAAATTATCCAGGAACCAGTATTTGAGAAACAGAAGAAATTACAAGGAAGCTCAACACAACTATACCACTCACTCTGTTGCTGCCAACAGTGGCAAATACCAGGGGGTCGCCTTCTTTGCTGTGCCAGTTAAACTGTACCCCAAACAACGGCTGACCATGATCTTCCTAGAGAGGAGACATAATTGAGTCACATCACAAACCTGTATATTTTCTTTTTCCTAATTTCTTTTTACTCTTTATAAAACTCTGAGAATGAGAAATACAGCAATCCCTGGTATTAGATTCCCAAAACTAATAATGTTATACCAATATATGAAGTACAGCCTTGTATATGCATTAACAAATTATTTGTAATTTATTTAATACTTACTAAAACACACAAATTAGTTGGTGAACCATTTTTAACATTCAGTTCTTTAGAATACACGGAATACATTTAATATAGGTGCCAAGATCCTACAAAGTTAGGTCAAGATAAAAGTTTCCCCTTGACATTAAGTCTAGTTGAGTACAACTCTGGGGAGTAGTGCTGATCTCCATTTCCATTAGAACACATAGAATACATTTAATATAGGTGCTAAGATCCTACAAAGTTATGCTACTTTATTTGAACTCTAACCACAAAAAATAGCTGGTTAATTTTTCTGCAAGTCATGTTCTGTAAAGAGATCTGTGAAACAGAAGGGCTTCAGCATTTTTCCAAGTTATGATAATCTCAACACTCAAAGCACCTACCAGGATTTTCAACCGTTCTTTTTAATGCAACTCCTGGTTTTGTTTAGCAAATAAGAAAATACTATTTTGAAATTATTTATCTCTTTTTTATTTAGTCACTCAATTATGCCAAAAAGATTTTGAGTTTCCAGCAAAAGGGCCCCATATGTTCTAGTGCTCCCTTTAGGTCACACTTTCTCCAACATGTATTACAAATCACAACAGAGGTAAGAAAGACACTATCTGTTTCTGCAGGGCAGAAAATGCCACACATGAACTGGTTTTAATACAATTTCTTCAGACACAACTGATATCAACTTACAGGGCAGCAAAAAGAAATTCTGATCCATGACTCTTTTATGTACTAATATTTAGTTCATTGCCCAAGTCACTTAGCTCCCATGTAGTTACCAACCACCTCTTATATTAGTAAGCACTGGTGGGAATTGCAAACCTACAACATCTGGAGTGTTGCAGTTTACCTAACCTTGGCTGTATAAAACATTGAGTTGAACAGGCTGAATGATATGGCTCAGTTTAAGCCAGCTCCTTATGGTCAACAACAACAACAACAACAACAATTTTATTTCTAATCTGCACCTCTCTCCCCAAAGGGACTAAGGGTGGCTTCCATGTCAAGTTTCCATGTTCCCTAAATACAAAAGGTGGTAAATATACTATCTCCCTTACAGTTCTCTTGAATTACAGAATCTCTGGTATTGAAATAAAACACCAGATTTTGTAGACCCCGGTTTGGTCACTGATGTTTGGAGGTCAATGGCCCTTCCACACAGCCCTATATCCCAGAATTTCAAGGTAGAAAATCCTACATTATCTGAGTATAGACTCAGATAACCCAGTTCAAAGCAGATACTGTGGGGTGTTCTGCCTTGATATTCTGGGATATAGAGCTGTGTGGAAGGGCCCCAAGTCTAACATCTAGAGACACAGAGGGCCATTCCTTTCACAGCTTAAGAACAGTATTTCTTTACTACTGTTCATAATGACTACTGTTTACTACTGCATCTGCTGATTAGACTGAGTTTATGCAGATATATGCTCTACAATTCTTTCTCCTAGTTAGTTTCTAAAGTGCTATAAGATTAATTTGTAGATTGTTTATCAGTTTTTATCCCATTGTCTCCATGAGAGATCTAAATTGTTAAATACCTTTAAGCTGTTTACACATTTAAATGAATATTTGCATTTCTTTGACTTCCATTTGCCTTTCCCCCAGCTTTTTCTTCCTGGAGCATTGGGCGTGTTTGTGGGGGTATCCGGGCGTTCTGTATTGGTACCACTCTCTATGCTGACAGCATCATCCTGAAAATTGAAAAAAGCATATTGGCTTTCATAACAAAAAAATCAACTGTGAGGTTTTCAGGGGCAAGAGGGAAAAAACTTACTGAAGCACAGAGATAACGTCATTCTATTCAAAATAGTAGGAAACAGGGAGGCCCCCTCCCAGCTAGATGAGCACTCAAAAACGGAAAAGTTATTTCACATTGCTATGTTTTTGTTTTATGCCTCCAAGCAATTTCTGACTTATAGCAGTCCTGTTACAGGGTTTTCTGAGTCTAAAAGTATGTGACTTGCCAGTGGGTTTTCACAGCTGAGTTCAAATCCATTTTTTTCGCAGGCAAAGTCCTACAATCAAACTACAATGCCATTCTGGCTCCATTCCACTGCTATACTGAGATCAATTTCAAGTTTCCATTTCATAATTTTGAAACTTGCAGGCAGAAACTGTGACAAAAACTGAGAACATGTCTGTGACACTATGGGTATCACTTAAACAGATTCCTATAGCAGATTCAGAGTTTGCAAAATGTCGCCCCCACCCCTTTCAGGAAGTGTAGATATTATCATGATCATCAACATAAGCTATCACTCAACTGACCACCTTGATTAGCTTACAATGGGCTGACTGTGCCTGGAGCACACTTTTGTTGAGAGGTAATTAGATGTCCCTACCTGCTTCCTCTCTGTTGTGCTGTTGCAATTTTAGAGTTTTTTAATACTGGTAGCCAGATTTTGTTCATTTTCATGGTTTCCTCCTTTCTGTTGAAATTGTCCACATGCTTGTGTATTTCAATGCGCCATTGTATGCTAATCAAGGTGGTCAGTTGAAACATTCACACCTAGCTCCAGCAGACAAGAGTCCTTTGTCCCACCCTGGTCATTCCACAGATATATAAACCCTTTTTCCTAGTTCCAACAGACCTCACTACCTCTGAGGATGCTTGCCATAGATGCAGGCGAAACGTCAGGAGAGAATGCCTCTAGACCATGGCCATACAGCCCGAAAAAACCTACAACAACCCAATAATAATCTTGTCCATATGCTTGTGTATTTCAAGTTTGCTCCAGGCACAGTCAGCCCATTGTATGCTAATCAAGATGGTCAGTTGAAACATTCACACCTAGCTCCAGCAGACAAGAGTCCTTTGTCTCACCCTGGTCATTCCACAGATATATAAACCCTTTTTCCTAGTTCCAACAGACCTCACTACCTCTGAGGATGCTTGCCATAGATGCAGGTGAAACGTCAGGAGAGAATGCCTCTAGAACATGGCCATATAGCCCGAAAAAACCTACAACAACCCAGTGATTCCAGCCATGAAAGCCTTCGACAATACAAAGTTTAAAAACTTGGCATTATACTAAATGTCCTTTGACCAGTATCTGGTAAAGATGTTGAACTGTGAAAGGAAGCTAATTTTCTCAGTTCTTGTGTGTTTTCGGGCTATATGGCCATGTTCTAGAGGCATTTCTCCTGACGTTTCGCCTGCATCTATGGCAAGCATCCTCAGAGGTAGTGAGGTCTTTTTCCTATTATTATTATTATTATTATTATTATTATTATTATTATTATTATGGTTTCTCTTTGGCCTTCTCTGCATCACTAGACTAGGATTCAGTAGAATGGAGTCAAAGTGGTATCAAATCGCATTAATTCTACAGTGTGGACGAAACGTGGAACATCCTCCCCCCCCCCCCCCGAATTTCAGGATCCCGCCTCAAAAGGAAGGCCTGGCTTGGTTGCTAAGCGACGGAGTAGGTAGGCCCAAAGCCTGGCCTCGATTGGGCGCTGCGGCCTCTCACATTCTCATCCCCGGAGAGGTCCCCCGGGTTGCTGTTCTCGTCGCTGCTCAGCTTCTGCTTCTTGGCCGGCATCTCGGCCCCGCTTCCCCCCGCCGCCGCCGCCGCTCCTTCGGCCGCCTCGTTGCTCCCGTTGCCGCCGCCTCCACCCCTTCCTCCTCTCCTCCGCTCGGACATCTTCCTGGCCGCGGCCGTAAAGCGCGGGAGTACAGCTTGAGCCTCTTGCCACCCCGCCGTGAAGCGCGCGCGGCCTGGCTGTCGCGAAAGTGCCGCCCTCAAAGCCACACTGCTGAAAAGAAAAAACGAAAAGTCGAAGGAAGACGCTCATTGATTGGACGAAGCGCCCAGTAAAGGAAAGCAGAGAGGTTGGAGTTGGGCAATCCGCCGCTAGAGGGGGTGCGCGCGCCAGCCTGTGTCAAAGAAAGTCATCTCCAAGTGGCCAGATACTGGTCAAAGGACATTTAATCAACTACCAAACTCACAATTTTCGTATTTTGTCTGGGTTTTTTTTGTTTTTTTTTTTGCTTTGTTCTGTTAGAAATGTAATATAATTGACTGGTTGCACTGACACGATAAATAAATATTTTTTTGGATGCGCCTCCAGACTGTAGAATTAATGCAGTTCGGCACCACTTTAGGATCCCTATATTATGTTATAATACAGATCAAATTATTATGTTACATTATATTTATTAATATATTTTATGCATTATTGCATTATATTTATTTATTTATTGCATTAATATTATATTTATTATATTTATATTTATTATATTTATCTCCATTTATGAACCCCCGCGCTCCCTTCGTTCATCCGGAGAGGCCCTGCTCGCGATCCCACCTGCGTCGCAAGCGCGTTTGGTGGGGACGAGGGACAGTACCTTCTCCGTGGTTGCCCCCCGACTCTGGAACACCTTCCCCAAAGACATTAAACTAGCACCCATGTTGGCAGTCTTTAGGAAGAATCTGAAGACCTGGCTATTCCGATGTGCCTTTCTGGAATAGGATAACCTCCAGCACTACGTCCCAGAAGCACTTTATTAGAGTTTAAGCTGTTAAGAATTTTTTAATACTGGTAGCCAGATTTTGTTCATTTTCATGGTTTCTTCTTTTCTGTTGAAATTGTCCACATGTTTGTGGATTTCAATGGCTTCTCTGTGTAGTCTGACATGGTGGTTGTGAGAGTGGTCCAGCATTTTGTGTTCTCAAATAATATGCTGTATCCAGGTTGGTTCATCAGGTGCTCTGCTATGGCTGATTTCTCTGGTTGGAGTAGTTTGCAGTGCCTTTCATGTTCACAACCACCATGTCAGACTACACAGAGAAGCCATTGAAATACACAAACGTGTGGACAATTTCAACAGAAAGGAGGAAACCATGAAAATGAACAAGATCTGGCTACCAGTATTAAAAAATTCTAAAATTGCAACAGCAAAAACAGCAGAGAGGAAACAGGCAGGGACATCTAATTACCTTTCAAGAAGAGTTTGCTCCAGGCACAGTCAGCCCATTGTATGCTAATCAAGGTGGTCAGTTTAAGGCAGGATCAGATCCCATATTTTTGTAGATCAATGGACCCAATAGTTGTGATGGCAAATACCCCTCAATTTTGTTCTATAGGCTTTTCAGAAAATATAGCAAAGTGCCGGAGTCTTCATGTAGAAAGGAGAACGGATATGGACTTGACCATATATGGGAAACAAAGACGGGTTTTTGTGCCAAAGAGAAGTTTTTTGTACAAGGGTGAAGGATCGGTCAAGAGACAGTGCTGACTTTGCCAGATTAGCAGATGTCCCCAGCTGTATTTTGCATATCAGCATCTTGAGATGTTTCCAAAAAGGGGTTTGCTTATTGGGAAATGAAACTTAAAAAGTATATGATCTAATTGCTTAACGTATGTATAATATTGACAGCTCTTTTAACCAATGATTTAATCTTTGGGGCGGCTCTTAAGGCCGAACCCCTTTGTGTGTATAAAATAACTCTAATCCTTTGTGCTGGTGTGACTTTCCCCAGAGACGCCTTGTTGCGTCGGAAAGCCAACTAGCAGCTGCTATACAAAATAAACTTTGATATTCTTGCTGAACCCAGTTGGCTGTTTTTCCTGACTCATCTGCGTCCGCAACTGAACTGAAACGGAGCATTTTTGGCTGAGCTCCTGAGCAATTGCTCAGGGGAAGGAAAAAGCCTGCTTCAATTTGAAAAATTCACACCTAGCCCAACTTACAAAAGCCCTTTGTCTCACCCTGGTCATTCCACAGATATATAAACCCCTTTTTCCCAGTTCTAGCAGACCTCACCTCTGAGGATGCTTGCCATAGATGCAGGCGAAACGTCAGGAGAAATGCCTCTAGAACATGGCCATACAGCCCGAAAAAACCCACAAGAACTTAGTGATTCCAGCCATGAAAGCCTTCGACAATACATTTATATACCACTTTTATCACCCCAAGCAGTGTGTGCATCTGTATGTGTATATGTGTATATATATGGTTTTATGCATGCGTTGTAATGTATTTTTAAATTTTTGGCTTTTTAAGTCTTTTCTGCCATGTTTTTCAGTGTTTTTATGAGTGATGGTCAATCGTTGGCCTCATATGTGTATTGTGTCCAAATTTGGTGTCAATTCGCCCAGTGGTTTTTGAGTTATGTTAATCTCACAAATGAACATTACATTTTTATTCATATAGATTGTATTATATTTTATTATTATATTATTTTATTATATTTTATTATGCTTATTATATTGTTTATTTATATTACTTATATTACTAATATTCTACCAATTACTATACTATCTATATATATAAATCTGTTAGGTTGGTTCAACGGGACAGCAAAACTCCACAACCCCCCAACGAAACCGCACCAAAATTCCCATGCCCATAACACAACCCACAAGGTACAAACATATCTACTCAAAATGAAAAACAACAGAACAACACACTCACAAAACGGCAAAACAACAAAACTCAAAACACCCCCAACGAAACTTAACCAAAATTCCCATGCCCGTAACACAACCCACAAGGTACAAATATATCTAATCAAAATGAAAAACAACACAACAACACACTCACAAAACGCCAAAACAACAAAACTCAAAACACCCCCAACGAAATTTAACCAAAATTCCCATGCCCGTAACACAACCCACAAGGTACAAACATATCTACTCAAAATGAAAAACAACACAACAACACACTCACAAAACGGGAAAACAACAAAACAACAAAAGGATGAAACCAAGTAGTGAAAGAAGGAAAGAAAGAAAGAGGTAGAGAAGGAAGAAAGGAGAGAAAGGGGGAGGAAAAGGGGGAAGGAATGGTACCTCTCTTTTATAATAGTCCAGATATCTACCTCAACTTTGATAAGTTTTACTATAGGCCACAGCAACGCGTGGCAGGGCACAGCTAGTTATATTATAAATATTCTACTAATATTGTTATAAAATTGTTATATTAAATTATTATATTATTATATTTATATTGTTATATTTATATTACTAACTAGACACCCCCTTCCATGCATTGCTGTGGCTCGGTATGTGTATATGTGTTTTGTGTATGCATATGTATGTGTATATGTGTATATATGTGGTTTTATGCATGTGTTGTAATGTATTTTTTATTTTTTGGCTTTTAAAGTCTCTTCCGCTTTTTCAGTATTTTTATGAGTGATGGTCACTTGCTGGCCTGATACGTGTATTGTGTCCAAATTTAGTATCAATTCGTCCAGTGGTTTTTGAGTTATGTTAATCCCACAAACAAACAAACATTACATTTTTATTTATATAAATGTTATGTTATTATATTACTATTATATATTATTACTATTATATTATTTCTCCCAGGTTGGGAGAAAGAACTCTTGCCTGTTGGAGACAAGTGTCAATGTTGCAATTGGGCAGCTTGATAAGCATTGAATAGCCTTGCAGCTTCAAAGCCTGGCTGCTTCCTGCCTTCTTTCTCCCACCCTGGACATTCCACAGATATATAAACCCCACTTGCCTAGTTTCCAACAGACCTCACGATTTCTGAGGATGCCTGTCATAGATGTTGGAGAAACATCAGGAGAGAATGCTTCTGGAAGATAGCCATATAGTCCAGAAAACTCACAGTGACCCGGTGATTTCAGTCATGAAAGACTTCAACAACACAGTCATCTGTACTGTTTTTCATGTTGCTAGCAGTTTTGAGTCTCATTAAAAGGAGAAAGCAAGATATTATTATTATTATTATTATTATTATTATTATTATTATTATGGCATCAGATTACATTTATTCTGCAATGTAGATGCTCCTTTAGCCAGCCTTTAAAGGCCTTCATGCCTTGGATGTCTTGAGTTTCTGGAGAAAACACAAGCAAGGAAATTTCAATGAATCACCTATTTATTTTGGACCCAGTTTGACTTGCAAAGAATTGGGTAAAAACACCAGGATCAACTGGTCTGTTTTTTTTTTCCTGAGACTAGAGACTTTGCTTGCTGATTTCAGCCTTTTTCCATTAAAAAACACACCTCTTTCCATTTTTTTAAAATAAGCAAGATGTGCAGTTTATGACAATGCAATCGAGGAAACTATTTTAAAAAAAATGAAGGACAATCATTTTTTTTCTGCCGCGGGTGATGATTAATTCAACAATCTTGAATGACAGTGCTATTCATTACTGCTCTTCTGAATAGAATAGTCACTGAATTGTTATAGGATGTACTTTTTGCATTTAATTGCCCTGCAACCCCACTGTTTCAGGTGCCCTCCCATTCCACCTCATGTGCATGCACACCCATCATTTCTTGGAAGTTACAGACCAGAAGAGAAACAGAGTAGGCTGTTAGGAATTGTGGGAGTTGAAGTCCAAAACACCTGGAGGGCCAAGTTTGCCCATGCCTGATCTACACTAGAGTTCATGCAGTTTCACACCATTTTAACTGCCATGGCTCAAGGCTATGGAAGCGTGGGAGTTGTAGTTTTACAAGACAGTCTACCTCTCTGCCAAAGGGTGCTGGTGCCTTTCCAGTTTACAAATGCCAGTGTTTATCATTATTATTATGTTTATTTATGCTCTGCTTTTTCTCTCTACAAGGAGAGTAGTTTCGTGTTTATAGGGTGGCCATAAGTCAAAATGAATTGAGAGCAGTTAACAATAATGAGCAGTAGGTGACTGTGGCAATAGGCCAGGCTTTAATCACAACTGGTAA